CTTTGTTTTTGGTTTATATGGCCCTCAAGAGGATCTGGTACTCTCTCTTAAGGCTCTCCATTCTTTTCTTTTTTGGCAGTACTAAGGATCAAACCCAGGACCTCATGCATGCTTGACAAGTGCTCTACCACTGAGCTACATCCACAGACCTTCTCCACTCTTTCCTATGTGAGAATCCCATAGGCCCATCCAGATTTGACACAGGAACATGGAGGAAAGCTCAACAATCAAAAAGGGGGCAAAAGCTCAACTCTGGAATAAATGCTCTACTTGAAGAAATGAATCTTATTCAATTGTCTCTTCCTACTGCTTAACAATGCCTGTCCCAAGCAGTTCCTAAAGACATGTTTAATGAATGAATCAATCAGGGTCCATGGGGAGCACTGGAGTGCCAACACTTGGGCTTCCAAGTATGTAGGTCTAACCCTACTTGTTCAGAATCAAAAAGAGCCTCAGTTTTAATCTGGAAAATGGGGTTAACACCCAAAGTAAAAAAATGACCAGATAAATGCTGATGTTGATTCAAGCTCTAGAACCTAAGATTTTGTATGGGAATAGTAGGAATGTATTCATGAATTCCCTAGAGACATAATATACTTTGAGAAAAAAATACAAGAGGCAAAAAAACCATGGAGTTTTTCTCTCTGGCTCCTTTAGTTCAGGAACAGGTATGATACCATGAACAAGTCAGTAACCCCAATTATCAACTGCCTCCTCTGTAAAAATGAGGCCTCCCCTAGAACATCTTGATGACTCCCTCTCACCTCAAGGATCTACTGCCTCCAGTATATGGGGAATATAAAATGAATATGAGTTAAACCCTTAACACACTCTAATGCAAAAACTGTGACTACTTTACCTCTGTCTCATAGATTCGTTGTACACTGAGGTTGTCACGAATAATCACCCGAGATAAGTGGCTCTTGGGTAAAAATTTGCTCAATGCTGCTTCACTGGAATCCATTAAACTGGAATGGGGAGGGGAAAGTAGTACCAGTTAGAGATGGCTGAGACCAAAGCCAGGGTTAGGGCCTGATTTCATTGGTTCCTGGGGGAGTGGCTGAAGTTTCTTAGGACATGCACAGCTTTCTCCTAATTTTTAGAGGACCAAGGGAATAACCATGTTTCTCCTTGTGGACAAGGTGTGTGCTAAAGAACTGTGACTTGGATACCTGAGAAGGATGTTGAAGAGCCAAGAGCAGTCCAAAGAGAAGTGTAAACGGAATCAGAGACAACCCTCAACCCTCAGTAACTGTTTTTTGTGTGTTTGGGTTTTTATTCGGGGCGGGGTGGGGGGGCAATGCTGAGGATGGAACCCAGGCTCCTGCACATACTAGGTAAACACTTTATTACTAAGCTATACCCCTAGCCCTAGAAGCAGTTACCTTAATGAGAAAAAGAAGGTGAAACAGAGAATCTTAGAGAAGAGTCAAAGTTGGAGAACCAGGTCAAAGGGCTGAATTTGAGAGAGGACATGGTGGGTTGGAGCAGAACTTCACAGCATAAATCTAAGGAGAATCTAAGAAGCGGGRAGTAAATCAGAACAGGGGAAAAATAAAATAGTTTGTACAAAGATTGGGCTGGTTAATAGGGAAATTCTAAGGGGAAAGGGTTTGGGAAAAGTTTACAAACATGAGGGAAGTTTGGAGTGCACAGGGCTTTAGAAGACTCTGGAAAGTGAGAAGTAGAAGATGGGATGAGGTGGGGAAGGTGGAATAGGATGGAGCCAGGTACTCCAAGTAAAAAATTTGAACAAAATGAGGAATTGATTAAAAAAAAAAAAGAGACCAGATATTGCCAGCCACTGAGTTTTCAATATTGATAATTTGGTTACACCATGAAGTGGTTTAACAAATATATACCTTTAAATGTTTTGGCTTACTTAAAAATAAATGCTGGTATTTGCTAAAATTTGGAAACTAAATGTAGAACAATGAGAAAAGAAAAATGAATAACTTTAGCAAGCCAGACAATAAAATATATGTGATTATGTATAAAACATAAACATTGGGGCTGGGGTTGTAGCTCAGAGGTAGAGCACCTGCCTAGCATGTGTGAGGTACTGGGTTCGATTCTCAGCACCACATATAAATAAATAAAATAAAGGTCCATAAAAAAGATAGTTTTAAAAAAAAAACATAAACATCTTAGATGTATTAGATGGGGAAAAATCAGGTAACTAAACAATGAACTCTTTGTGATGGATTTTTCAAAAAGTTTAACACACGTGTATGAATGGACCTGGAATGATATATGTCAAGATGCTACAGTGATTGTCTCAGGTCATTCATTTTGCTGGTCTTTCTTTTCTGATTTTTCTATAAGTGTATATTACTTTCCTAACTGCAATTTTAAAAGGCAATTTTCTAAAGGGTAAAATATTTTGAAGGGTTAGATTTTATTTTCTAATTCATCTTCAGCCAATTTGGAACAATGGTCTTGTGAATATTTTTATATTTACAAACAAATATTAATAAACAAATATCTCCAATCTCTCATTTTCATTTCTCTGACTTCTATGCAGGGCAACACAGCATTAGACATGAGTTAATGGAAAAAAACTAGTTCGGAGGTCAAGGTGCTTACAGCAAGTCCCCTAAATCTTGTTTGAAAAAAAAAACTAAAATTCTAAAAATATTTAAAGATACATTTGTGTGTGTGTGGTCCTGGGGATTGAACCCAGGGGTGTGCTACCACTGCACTACATAACTAGCCCTTATCATTTTTGTGGGAAGAAGTTCTCCCTAAACTGCAGAGGCTGATACATGTGTGTTACCAAGCCTGGTCATAAAACACTCTTCATCCTCTTAGCAATGCACCAAATTTATCAATACAAGAAAAGGGTTTTTTTTTAAAAAAAAAAAACAATGATTGGAAATATTCCAAGTAATAAATAATGGTCATTTTGAACCAAATTGCCTTCCACCGCCAGTCCTCTACAGGAGCCTGCAAGATGCAGCCACAGGAGTTCAGAAATGAAAAAGGGTGCGGGAAATTGGGGCTCCTAATGATAGGGAACAAGTAGACAAATGGGTTTTTTTTTCCAGAATCACTGAGAAACGTGGAAGCAAAGAAGACGGGTGTTGGAAAGTTTCAAGCCTGAGGTGGACCCTAGTCTCACCAGGCTCAGGCAGGTTCAGAGCTCGAAGTGAAGGCTGGAGAACTGACAGGCGGGCTGATTTGGAGGAAATGTTGGGAGTAGGACTCCGGGTTACTCGCGGGAGTCAGAGCTGAAGGCGTTCAGACGGGCCCCTAGGTGTCAGAGCAGGACTGGAAAGAAGTTGGGGTCAGGGTCTTTGAGAAATCCAGGTTCCCTTAGGGTGCGAGAAAGGGGAACACGGGCCTCTGGAGATAAGCGTTGAGAGGCGCAGGTTCTGGGTCCGACTAAGAGAGTTCGGGGGAACCAAGGCTGCACCTGAAGAACACCGATGGCTGTGAGGTTCGTGGTCGAAGGAAGTAGACCTTCGGCTGGTCCCCGTGGCCGGTTTCTTGGCGGTCGCCGCGCTGGTCGCGCCGTAAATCCAAGATCCCAGTGGCGCCGGAACTGGCGGTCGCTTTGGAGGAAGACTTGTAATCCTTGTACAAATCCAGATCCCAAGTAACCGAAAGCCTACTCGGCCGTGCGGTCTCGTCCTCGACACTGGAGGGGAACGACGCCGGAATGGAAACCATGATTGCTACGCTTGCGCAGATACTGAGTGAGACCCAAGGCAGACGCGGCCAGCAGAGGTTTGTGCGTTGCCMGGGAAACACGCGATGGGGCGGGGCCTGGGGGCGGGGCGAACCGGGAGGCTGAGGACGCGGCAGAATTGTCCTCCGGCGGCCGCCATAGTGCGACTTAGCGCGTTGCTATAGAGACGAATTGGGCGGGCCAGAATAAGYCGGCGAGGGTGAGGTCGACTGTGACCTAAGAGTGATCGTGGAGGTGGTAATCGGTTAAATCCGGGAGGGGCTGCTCCGAGCGCAGAACGGAAACCGAGATTTCTCCCGAGACCTGGGCGGCAGACGTCTCCCCCGCCAGGAGAAACCATTATTATGGAAATCAGATTGCTGGGCCGGCGGGGATTGTGCTTCCGAGCCGGTCTCTCTCTTTGAGAACCTTGGCTGGGGATAATCGGTGCCACTTCTTCATGAACGAACCCCCTTGTACTCCTACTGGAGAGAGGTAAGACTGTTGTGGGATCTTGACGTCGAGTTGAAAAGAAGCCTATTCCAATGCTAATTCACCAAGTAACCTACCTAATTCACCCCTGGAAGTAGAGCCTCGAACCGGTCAACCCGTGGATTTTGTTCTGCTATATAAGAATTTAACCAACGCTTCTCGGTGTTTGCCGACTTTTTTTTCCACCTGTAATGAGCTGGACGACCAGCTCTTGGGCCTTGGGCGGCCCCGAACAAGGCCTCCCTTCTGTGCCTCTCTTTCCACCTGTGACAAATGGAAGTATTAACTCTAGACACCAGTCTGATTAGATAGCTATGAAGGTCGAACTACAAGAGGGAAGCCAAAGGCTTCTTCATAGGTTGTAAAATGGTGAACCTCAACTGCTGTCGAGTTGCTATTTCTCTCCCTCCCTCTTCTTCATGCTGAACTATTCTTCAAGTCTCGGGTCATTTTTTTTTTTTTTCTCATGGGAACTTTGTGACTCCTGAGCCCCCAGTCTGGAATTAAACTCTTTACTCTGTTCCCAAAGGGTGCTGAGACACATGAGGTGAAGGCTGGAGAACTGATGGGCAGGCTGATTTGGAGGAAATGCCTCGCTTTTTAACTCCACTAACAACAGCAAGAAGAAATAGTTATCATTTTTGAAGTGCTCATTCGGTGCCAGACTCTATATTCAACACTACCTGGATTATCTCCTTTAAATTTTCACAAAATTCTTATTTTTTATGGTAGTGGGGATTGAACCCAGAGGCCTTCTACTAAGCCACACCCCCAGCCCTTTTATTTTGAGACAGGATCTAGCTAAATTGCTGAGACTGGTCTTGAATTTGCAGTCCTCCTGCCTCACCCTCTCCAGTTGCTGAGATTATGGACCTGTGCCACCACACCCAGATCACAACATCCTTTTAAGGTAGGCACTGTTACTCCTATTGTCAAAGGGCAAAATTACAATTATTTATTTACTTTTTTGCCAGGGATTTAACCCTGGGGTTCTGAAACATTACCCAGCCCTTTTTTATTTATTTTATTTAGAGACAGGGTCTTGCTGAGGCTAGCTTTGAACTGATCCTCCTGCCTCAGCCTCGAGACAAAAGTGTAGAAAAACTTATTGATTAACAACAAATTACTTTAGGTTTCCTTTTATTATGAAAGTATTAAGACCCAGGGAACTTTATTTTGCCAGTTGAGAGTGGCCTGTTTGAGAACATTGGCAATTACCTCTCTGATCCTCATTTCTCCAAGGTCAGATGAACAGCTTAGTTTCAGTTTGGTGAAGTAGAACTTTAGTGTGAGTCACTCCATTTTGATTTTTAGTCTGATCTGTTGAGCCCCAGGGTAGGATCTTAGTCTTTTTAAAAAGTAGTGTCTTTTCATACTTTTTGTCACTCAATCAACAGTCTCCTCTGTTCTACCCTCTGGGCACTGGTTGGGGGCTCCTCAGTTAATTTTGGAGGGGGGGGGGTCTGATGGTGAGAGTCCAGAATATCTCCTAGCATTTAGCCTTCCACCTGGGTTTTAGACCTCATCCCATGTCCCTTAAATGACCTTTACAACAAACCAGCCCTATCTGCCCTTCTTGGGGTAAGCCTAATGAATTTGACCCTGGGGCATTGATTGGCAGGTTGAATTTCCCTCTGCATCCTTTAGCATTCTTTCCAGAAGCCTAGGAACCCTGAGTGATTCTCTGTGATATTCAGAGGACCACCTTAGAGAGTCCCATAGACCCATCTGAGAAACTGATGTGACTCCATTTTTGAGAAACCAGCTTTTACCTCAAGGCCTGTCCCGAGGGAGGGGGTGTGACCCTTGTCCTTGGAAAAACCCACCTCATACCCACCCTGCTGAGTTGTTTAACTGGAGAGATATGCGGAGCCAGGTGTCCCTGACTCTGTTATGCTAGGTGAGGACTCATAGCACCCCCCTAGCAACCATCAATCAGCATGAGACAGGGAAAATATCTGAAATGCCAGGTGACCCTCCCAGTAGTTTTGGTGATTGATAACATGATTAGGCAACCCTGCAGTTTATTGAGTACACCAATCAGTTCAAAGGTATCCACCTCTTGAACTTACCAATCACCCTTACCCAACTTGTTCCTGCCAGTGAATGTGCTAATCAATATTAAGAGATGTAGTTTGATTTTCCCAGCCTGTATGAAAAGATTTGCTGTGTGATGTTGTGAGTATTCCCCAAAAATCTATAAACCCTCACTGAACTAAGGGCCAGGACTCACTCCTTTGGTTCAGCTGCATCAGGAAAAGGTTATGAATCCGGGCTCCAGCTTGCAATAAAGACTCTTGTGTGATTGTATCAGATTCGGCTCCTGGAGGTCTATTGGGGGTCCCACGAATCTGGCATTACACATCCATCCATTTCCCAAAAGTCTCCTGGGGTCATGGTATTGGAATGGTTTCCTAATTTAACCAGTATTGATCAAGCGCCTACAGGAAGTCTGGCACTGGTTCATGATACAATGGACATTAAGATAATTGTTCTCCTAAAGGGCTCATGGTGTCTTGAGAAGAAGACTTTTATCAAATTGTCAGATAGCTCAAGGCAAAAACTATCAGTGGCTCAGTCTAACTGAGGACTTGGGAGAGGCTAATGGGAGGCTAGAGAAAAGGAAGCAGCCAGGCCACAAATGACCTTGACAGTCAAGCTGAGGGGCTCTATCTTATCCTGACTATGGGCAGCAGGGGGAAAAAATGTTTGGTTTCTCATTAGACTGCCCTTTGGACTGGAGAGGTGTCATCTAAATCCAAATGTCCCTTTTTCAGTAAGACATAAGAGGGTGTGGGATTTTTGAAGCTTAGTTCAAGAGTTAGAAAGTGAGGGATCCAAGATGAGGAGAAGACAGGAGTCTGCCCCTCCTAGGGGTTCACGCCACAGCCCTGCTGCAGACATGGTGGTGCTGGTATGGCAAGTCTTTGTGAGGCTCTGCTGCTTCTCTGCTCTTGCTCCTGGGGTTGCTTTGGTGCCCATTATGCTAGCCTCTGGGAAGCTCCCAGACACTCCTTTCCCTAGGCTCTCTTTAGAGGCAAGTTACAGGAGAATGTTTAGCAATGTAGGACTTTGTTTTTGACATCAGTTCCACATGAGTACATTCCATCTCTTCAAAGAGATGGTTCTTGTGAGGAGAGCAGGAACCTCCCTGGTCTTATTCTTCTCCCCTCCCAGTGACTCAGTGAGCTCTGGTTTCAAGTCACTGGTTCAGAGTCTCGTGCTTTAGAATATAATCAGAAGACTAAGGAGGAAGATATTACAAATGATTCCCACTTAGTGGGACTTGAAGGAAGGAGAGAATTTTGAAGAGGGGAAGAAGAGGACTTTGTGAGCCTAGATGGAGAATCAGGCCAGGGCACAGCTAAGGAATTCAAGTTGACCTGCCCAAATAGAGATGAGGGACCCCTCAAGGGAAGCCACTACTGCCAGGCTCAGGGACTTGCCTTTTGTTCTGTAGGACAGTATGCATTAGATCACCTAAGAAGCAAGCTGAAATGCGAATTTATGCCCCTTACCTGAGAATCTAATTTGGTGTATTTGGGGAGGGGCCAAAATCTGGGTATGTGTATTATTAGTGAGTTCCCTGAGTGATTCTGTGATGGTCAAAGGACTGCCTTAGGGAATCCCATGGACCCATCTTTCCATTTCCCAGAAGTCTCCTGGGTTGGCCTGCTGGGCACCTACCCTCTAAACATTCTYTCCCTCTCTGCAGTTTTCCAGGGACACAGCTTAGAAAAATGCAGGCCTCATGTGTCACCAACTGCTGACCCACCGCCTTGATGACAGCACCCCTGTGCACCTTCCCAGTTCAGTTCCGGCAGCCCTCAATCAGCGGCCTCTCACAGATCACCAGAAGCCTGTACATCAGCAATGGTGTAGCTGCCAACAACAAGCTCTTGCTGTCCAGCAACCAGATCACTTCAGTCATCAATGTCTCAGTAGAGGTGGTAAATACCATCTATGAGGATATCCAGTATACACAGGTGCCTGTGGCTGACGCACCCGTCTCCAAGCTCTATGACTTCTTTGACCCCATTGCTGACCACATCCACAGTGTGGAAATGAAGCAGGGCCGTACACTGCTACACTGTGCCGCTGGCGTGAGCCGCTCAGCCACTTTGTGCCTTGCCTACCTCATGAAGTACCATGCCATGTCCCTGCTGGATGCCCACACATGGACCAAGTCATGCC